TGACTGAGATACCAGCAACCTGTGCTTATGGCAAGTGAGACATTTTCCAGGAAGTTTCACAGTAAGTAGCATTGGGACCTACCAGAAAAGCCAAGGATTAATGTAGCTTAAGGAAGCGTATTGACACATAGCTTCCTTCTGAGATTCTCTCAGTCTGTGATTTTTGAGCCCTTTGCCAAGTCTTTCCTAGCTGAGAGTCTTGTCCTTCTAGGCTCTCCTGATTCTCCTGTCCCTGAAATTCTTGCTTACTCCGGTCTCTTTCTACAATCCCTCTTCCAACATTCTGCCCTTTTGCCATAAGGACATACAATGTCCTTTTTCCTTTCCCCCTCTCATAAGTTGGTCAGAGTAGAGACATCACTCCTTTAGGAAAGAGTGCCAACTGCACAACTGACATAGCAGTATTTTTTGTTTCTTCTTTGCCTTTCTCTAGAGTTCTCAAAACTTGGTAGCTACTATTATGTTTGAGTAATAGTCAGTCCTGGACATCTTCCCATCTTCTTCCTAATTTGAGTTTTCAGAATCAAGACAAAGGTGTGATTCTGAAAGGTCAGAGGGTGATTTCAACCTACGCATAGATCTATAGCAACAATATTTGAGAAATAAAAATCCTCAACAAACTGCCCTGGCGGGTGTGGTCAGTGGATTGAGCACTGGGCTGCAAACCAGTTCAATTCCCAGTCAGGGCACAGGCATGCATTGGGGGCCAGGTTTCCACTTGGGGGCATGTGAGAGGCAACCACACATTGATGCTTCTCTCCCTCTCTTTCTCCTTCCCTTTCCCTCTCTAAAAATCAATAAATAAAATCTTAAAAGAAATTCTCAACAAACCATGGATGAAATTGATGAGGGACTCATTGTCTCTCCAGTATGCTGCTGCAGGTTTTCCCAGCTCACCTTTACCAAAAGTTTTCAAGTAGAGCCACCAGCAACCCCCTCTCCATGGGTCTCTAATGCCTTTAGTTCTTCAGAGTTGTGGGAGATGATGAACAGTTGACTTTGCCTGGCCACCATACCCCTTAATGTAGTGTCCAGACCAACATGCTTGCTTCAGCAAATGACTAAAGACTTTTGGTTGAAGAAGTGCATGCAGTAGCCAATGCATACCCCCATGTATGGGGCCATAAATTGAAAATGTGCTGCCAAGTGTTTCTGCCAACTTCCCGTTTTTTTTCTCTCTTTTTTTAAGATTTTATTTATTTATCTTTAGAGGGGAAGGGAAGGAGAGAGGGAGAGAAATATCAGTGTATCGTTGCCTTTCATGCATCCCCTGCTGGGAACTGGCCTGCAGGGAACCTGCCTGCAACCCCAGTATGTGCCCTGACTGGGAATCGAACCGCTATTGTCTGGTTCACAGGCCTGCGCTCAATCCACTGAGCTACACCAGCCAGGGCCCAACTTCCAGTTTTAAATGGATAACATCAACTGGCAAGGAAGGTGTGTGGATGACACTAGATCCCTGGTAGCTTCTCAGTGGCATCAGCTTTGCTGGCCATCCAAATACAAAGGAGTGGTTTTTTTTTTTTTCCATTGAGGCAAGAAAAAGGTAAAATTATATGGTTTTTTGGTCTCCTTTCCAATATTGACATCCATCAGCTTGTTAATAACAGACAATAAGAAAATCTCCCAATGCTTGGAAACTGAGCAACATACTTCTCAACAATCCATGGGTCAAAGAAGTTTCAAGGGAAATTTTAAAAATACACTGAACTGAACGGAAGTGAAAATACAACATAGTAAAATGTGTGAGACACAACTAAAACACTTCTGAGAGGGAAATTTTATACATTAAATGCATACATTTGAAAAGAGGACAAGTCTCAAATTAAAAACTTGTAGTCTCACTTAAAAAATAGAAAAAGAAGAGTAAAATGAACCTAAAGCAAGCATAAGGAAAAAAAACAAAGATAAGGACAGAAATCAAGGACACTGGAAGCAGAAAAATAATAGAGAAAATCAATGAAATTAAGAGCTGCTTGTTTGAAAACATCCATTAAAAATGAAATAGGGGAGCCTTAGCCAAGTGAAACTCAGTTGGTTGGAGTGTCATCCAGTAAACTGAAATGCTGGAGAGGTCTTGGGTTCAATTTCTGGTCAGGGTTGCCCCTCCAATTCAGGTGCATGTGGGAGGCAACTGATGATGTTTCTCTCCCATATTAATGTTCCTCTCCCTCTCTCTCTCCTTCCCTTCTGCTCGCCCTAAAAAAAAAATCAATAAGAATTTTTAGCCCTAGCTGGTGTGGCTCAGTGGACTGAGCACCAGCCTGAGAACCAAAGGATCTCCAGCTCAATTCCCAGTCAGGGCACATGCCTGGGTTATGGGCCAGTTCCCAGCAGGGGATGCATGAGAGACAACTACACATTGATGTTTCTCTCCCTCTCTTTCTCCCTCCCTTCCCCTCAGTCTAAAAAAATAAATACAACCTTTAAAAAAATTCCAGCAAGATTTCTTGTAGATTTACACAGTATTATTCGAAAATTTATATTGAAAGACAAAGAGCCCTGGCTGGGGTAGCTCAGTGGATTGAGCGCTGGCCTGCAAACCAGAGGATCGCAGTTTGATTCCCAGTCAGGGCATATGCCTGGGTTGTGGGCCAGTTCCCAGCGGGGACCCACCAGAGGCAACCATACATTGATATTCTCTCCCTCTCTCCATCACTTCTCCCTTAAAGATAAATAAATAAAATATAAAAAAAGAAAGACAAAGAAATTAGAAGCTGCAACAATTTTTATAGAGAAGAATAGAGTGAAAAGAATCAGTCTACCCAATTTCAAGACTTATTATACAGCTATAGCAATAGAGACAGTGTGTTATTGGCAGGGAAAAACACATAAATCAATGGAACATAATAGAGAACCTAGATATATACTCAACTGATTTTTGGCAAAGGTGAAAAAATAATTCAATGGAGTAAGGATAGGATTTAAAGCAATTGTCCTGGACCAACTGGACATCCATCTGCAGGCAAAAACCAAAACCAAAAACAAAAACAGCTGTCATCCTCAGCCTGACACCTTATACAAAAATCAACAAAATGGATCCTGGACAGAAATGTAAAATTTTTAGGGGGAAAAAGGAGAAAGCCTTCAGGACCTAAGACTAGGCAAAGAGTTCTTAGATTTTAAAGCAACAGCATGATGTACACAAGGCAACATTGTTTATTAGACTTTATTACACTTAACTAGAATTAAAAGGCTTTGCTTTTGAAAGAGTCTGTTAAGTAAGAGGATAGAAAGACAAGCTACAGACTTGGAGAAAAGACTTACAAACCACATATTTGAGAAAGGATGAGTATTGTGAATATATAAAGAACTCAAAAGAACTGTTAGCAGTAAGGACAAACAAACAATTTAATTAGCAAATGGACAAAAGACATGAACAGACATTTCACTAAAGAGGATGTGCAGATGGCCAATAAGCATATAAAAAGATGTTAGCCATCATTATCCACTAGGAAAATGCAAAGTAAACCTACAATGAGATATCACCACATGCCTATCAGGATGGCTAAACTAAAAAAAAAAAATAGTGATAATACCAAATGCTGGTGAGGATGCAGAGAACAGGGTCACTCATACAGGGCTGGTGGGAAAGTAAAATGGAACTGCCACTTTCAAAGACAGTTTGGCAGTTCCCTATAAAACTAAACATGCAATTACCATATGGCCCAGCAGTTGTACTTCTCAGCATTTATTCTAGAGAAGTGAAGACTTATGATCACACAAAAATCTGTACACGAATAGCAGCTTTATCCATATAGCCTAAAACAGCAAATAACACAGATGTCCTTCAGTGCATAACTGGTTAAAGAGTATTGTTTACTTGTTTATTTTTAGAGAGCAGGGCAGGGAGAGATAAGAAGAGGGAGTGAAACATCAATGTGAGAAACAGACATAAATCAGTTGCCTCTTGTCACCAACCAGGGACCAAACCTGCAACCTAGGCATGTGCCCTGACCAGTGACCTTTCTTTTTTTTAAGATTTTATTTATTTATCTTTAGAGGGGAAGGGAAGGAGAGAGGGAGAGAAACACCAATGTATGTTTGCCTCCCATGCGTCCCCCACTCGGAACTGGCCTGCAACCCAGGCATGCGCCCCCACTGGGAATCAAACCGTGATCCTCTGGTTCACAGGCCCTCGCTCAATCCACTGAGCTACACCAGCCAGGGCCCAGTGACCTTTCTTTTTGTAGGACAATGCTCAACCCATTGAGCCACACCATTCAGTGACAGTGAATGACTGGTTAAATACACTGTGGTAAATCTACACCATGGAGAAGATGTGGTACATTGTGCTGAGTGAAAAAACAAGCTCCAAGAATGGAACCATATGATCTCTAAGATCCCACTTATATAACATTTTTGAAATGACAACACTATAGGAATGGAGAACACATAATGGTTACCAGGGAATAAGGAAATCTTGGGGGGAGGGGCAAAGGACAGTGGTTGTGACCATAAAAGGGCAACAGGAATGACTATAACAAGTGTGACTGTAAAAAACAACTCCAGACTGTCGGTCAAGATGGAGGCATAGGTAGACATGTTTTGCCTCTTTGCACAACCATAAGAAGGAAAACAGCTAACCTCAAAACGACAACAAAAAAACACCTAGAAACTTCCAGAAAATCCAACTGTGTGGAAGTACAACAACCAAGGACTTAAAGAATCCATATTCATCCAGACAGGTAGAAGGAGCAGGGATGGGAAGTCGGGGTGGAGAGCACACGATGCAGTGGTGGAGACCAGAGGATGAGACAGCCCCACATTCATGTGCGGTGGATAAACTCTAGAAGGGTACTTTGGGAGTGAGTGATCCCAGCCCCAGGACAGACCACACAGCTACACTAAGTGAAATAAATAAAAATCCACAAGGAACCAACAGTGAAGGGAAGGAAGCCTGTATTCAAATCAATGATTTGGAACAGAAGGAAGAAATAAACAATCAACCAGAACAGAATGAAGAAATAAGAATTAAAAAAAAAAAAACAAATAGAGAGATACTTACCTGGCAGGGGACATACCATGATCACAAAGGTGGTTTTCCCAGAGTGAGATTTATCCATTGCACTCCAGATGTGCTGGCCTCTGTGATTTCCCCAAATGTAGGAAACTTGACTGCATAATTTGTGGTAGTGGGGAGCGTTTGCACTCTCCCCACAAAAAAAGAAAGAAAAAAAAACAAGGAGAGAATAAGAAGATTCTGAGATATCTGCAAAAGTACCAACATCTGAATCATAGGGATGTGAGAAGGAGAAGAGGAAGAGCAAGAAATGGAAAACTTATTTGAAAAAATAATGAAAGAAAACTTCCCTAATATGGCTAAGGAAATAGACATACAAGTCCAGGAAGCACAGAGAATCCCAAACAAGTTGGATCCATAGAGGACCATACCAAGACACATCATAATTAAAATGCTAAAGGTTAAAGATAAAAGGAGAATCTTAAAAGCAGCAAGAGAAAAGGAGAGAGTTACCTACAAGGAGTTCCCAAAAGACTATCAGCTGATTTTATAACAGGGTGCAGCCAAGAGGGGAGCCCCAGGTAGGGATTTGTAATGGGGCCCAAAAGAGCTTGGAGATAATTGGCTCCACGCCACAGGGCCACACCTGCCTGGAATGCTGACAACTGTGACCAATTGTGGAAGGAGCTGGAAATGAGGCTACAGAAGATTGGCACTGGGATTTAAACAGAGGCACCACAGCCATTTGACATCTCTCTTTTTGGGACCACACATCTGTTTAGGACCACGTGGTTTTAGTGTCTTCGTTGGGACCACACAGCTTGGGTGAAAGTCAGGACCACGCGGCTTTGAAAATGCTCCCTTTTGTCAAGTGGAGGGTGCCGGGAGGACTGTGTGTGTTTGTGGAGAACTTTAGTTTGTATATTTTAAATAAATAATAAATTCCTTTCCTTTTCACTGATCTCTGGTATTAAAAGATGTCTTTCCTCAGGCAGCAGGCAAAACGAACCCAGTAGGTAAGGAGGAAGCCCCAGAGAAAAAGGGTTGTTTTTTTTTTTTTTACATCATTTAGCCTCCTCCGTCTGCTCTGTACCAATTTCTCAAACCGCTGGTATTCCACTGTGGTTTGGAATACCAGGAAGGTAGATAAGGCACTCTGTAAGTCCATGAACAGCAGTTTTGGGACAAGCATCCTATGCAGGGAAGGAAAACGCATATTCCAATTAAGTGTCTATTCCAGTAAGAATAAATAGCTGCCCCTTCCATGATGGAATGAATACCATACACACTAATATTTAACATTTTTATTTTTATTTTTTAAAAAGACTTTATTTATTTTTAGAGAGATGGGAAGAGAGAGAGAAAGAGACAGAGAGAAATATCAATGTGTGGTTGCCTCTCACATGCCCCCAGCTGAGGACCTGGCCCAAAACCCAGGCATGTACTCTAACTGGGGATCGAACCAGCTTTGCAGGCCAATTATCGATCCACTGAGGATTGATATCAATCCACCAGCCAGGACAAAAAACAATACTTTCTTTGGCGAAGTTAATAAATAAGGAATTCACTCAGGTTTTTTTCTCTGAAAATGTCTATTTCACTTCATTCTCAAAGGATATTTCATCAGTTAGCTTTTGCTATGTAGTGAACCACCACCAAACAGTAAATTATTCATGCACAATTATGGGTTCCAGCAATTTGGGCTGGGCACAGTTGCATGGTTCTTCTTATGGTCTTGCCTAGACTCACTCATGTGGTTGCTGTCAGCTGACAGCTTGGCTGTAGTAATGGAGTGAATGAGTCCTGTGTCTCCAGTGGACAAGTCCAAGTATATTCACATGGTGGTGGTCACAGAACTCCTGACAGCAGAAAGGGAGAAAGTCCTGATGTACGTGTACTTTAAAAAAATATATTTTATTTATTTACTTTTAGAGAGAGGGGAACAGAGGGAGAAAAAAAGGGAGAGAAACATTGATGTGACAGAGAGAATGAATCGGTTGTGCATTGCTTGCCCCCGGCTGAGGACGTAGTCTGCAACCCAAGCATGTACCCTGACTGGAACCAGAACCAGCGACCTTTCAGTTTGCAAGACAGTAATTAATTCACTGAGCCACACAATCCCGGACTATACCTGCACTTTTTAAGCTTCATGCTTCTTAATGTTCCATTGGCCGAAACAAATCACAAACTCAAGGCCAGATTTAACAGCGGAGAAATGGATTCCATCTCTTTTTTTAATTATACTTTATTGATTATGCTATTACAGTTGTCCTGATTTTCCCCCTTTGCTTCCCTCCACCCAGCATCCCTTACTCCCTTAGGCAATCCCCCCCGCCACTGTTTATGTCTACAGGTCATGTGTGTAAGTTCTTTGGCTACTCCCTTTCCTACCCTGTACTTTAAGTCATCATGACTATTCTGTAACTACCTATTTGTACTTCTTAATCCCCTCACCTCTCACCCATTCTCCCACACCCCCTCCCATCTCTTTATCTTTAATCTTTGGTATTTTAATTATTATTATTTTTAAAAGACTTTATTTACTTTTGCCCTGGCTGGTGTAGCTCAGTGGAGTGAATGCGGGCTGCAAACCAAAGGGTTGTGGATTCAGTTCCCAGTCAGGGCACATGCCTGGGTTGCAGGCCAGGTCCCCAGTGGGGACCACATAAAAGGCAACCACACATGGATGTTTCTCTCCCTCTCTTTGTCCCTCCCTTCCCCCTCTCTAAAAGTAAATAAATAAAAAAAAATTTAAAGATTTTATTTACTTTTAGAGAGAGAGGAAGGGAGGGAGAGAGAGAGGGAGAGAAACATCCATGTGTGGTTGCATCTCATATGTCCCCTACTGGGGACCTGGCCCATAATACATGCATGTGCCTTGACTTGGAATCAAACCAGAGAGACCCTTTGGTTCAAAGGCCCGCAATCAATCTAGTGAGCTACACCAGCCAGAGTGTGGTATTTTCATTATTATGTGTCTTAGAGTGGGCCTCTTTGCATCCATGTTGTTTGGGACTCTCTGTGCTTCCTGGATTTCTATGTTTATTTCTTTGACCAAATTAGGGAAGTTTTCTTTCATTATTTTTTCAAATAGATTTCTAATTTCTTGTTCTTTATCTTCTCCTTCTGGCACGCCTATGATGCAAATGTTGGGTTGCTTAAAGTTGTCCCACAGGCTGCTTACGCTATCCTGGGGTTTTTTAATTCTTATTTCTTCTTGCTGTACTTATTGAATGTTTTTTGTTTCCTTATGATCCAAATCATTGATTTGATTCTCGGCTTCATACACTCTACTGTTGTTTCACTGTAAATTGTTCTTTATTTTAATTAGTGAATCCTTCATTCCTTTTTTTTTTAATTTTGAAGTATTTTCTTTTAACTTAATTTTTTAAAAAATTTATTTATCTTTAGAAGGAAAGGGAAGGAGAGAGAGGGAGAGAAATATCAATGTATGGTTGCTTCTCATGTGACCCCTGCTAGGAACTGGCCCCTGCTGGGAACTGACCTGCAACCCAGGCATGTGCCCTGACTGGGAATCGAACTGCGATTCTTTGGTTCACAGGCCCGTGCTCAATCCACTGAGCTATACCAGCCAGGGCTGTATCCTTCATTTCTGACTGGATTTTTTTATGCTGTTAAGGTCCTCACTAAGTTCCTTGAGCATCCTCATAACCAGTGTGTTGAACTCTGCATCTGATAGATTGCTTATCTCTCTTTTGTTTAGTTCTTTTTCTGGAGTTTTGATCTGTCCTTTCATTTCAGTCATTTCTTTGACAGCCTCCCTATGTTTGTTTCTGTGTATTATCCCCACAGTCAGTCTAATTGTAGAACTGTAAAGGTAATTTTTGTTCTTTCCCTCCGCTGATGGCTTTGAATATTTTTCTTTGCTTTTCGTAAGTTGTACACTAATGTGCCTCAGTGAGGTTTTCTTTAGTTTTATCCTGCTTCAGGTTCATGTGATTTCTAGAAACTGTGACTTGATGTTTGTCATGAAGTTTGGAAAATTTTTACCCATTCACTCTTCAAATATTGTTTGTGCCACATTCTTTCTCTTCCTTCTAGTATGCCAATAATACCTCCATTAGACTTTCTCATTGTATTTTCTATGCCTTTTACTTCCTTTGACTTTGTATTTTACCATTGTTTACCTCTCCAAGCTTTATTCTGCCTAATTTATTCTGACCTAACTTCCAGTTCACTCATTCTCTCTTCAGGCCCTGTTTAGCCCACCCACTGAGCTCTTAATTTTGTTTACTGTATTTTATTTTAAAAAATTTAAAATATATTCTATTGATTATGCCATTACAGTTGTCCCACTTCCCCCCTTCATTCCCCTCCATCCTGCACACCCTCTCCCACCCACACTCCCCAACTTTAGTTCATGTCCATGTGTCATAAGTTCTTTAGCTTCTACATTTCCCATACTATTCTTGCCCTTCCCCTGTCTATTTTCTACCTACCGTCTATGCTACTTATTCTCTGTACCTTCTCCCCCCTTCTCCTCCTCCCACTCCCCTGTTGCTAACCCTCCATGTGATCTCCATTTCTATGGTTCTGATCCTGATCTAGCTGTACTCTTAGTTTGCTTTTGTTTTAGGTGTGGTTTTTAATAACTGTGCATTTGCTGTCCTTTCACTGTTCATCTTTTTTATCTTCTTTTTCTTAGATAAGTCCCTTTAACACTTCATATAATAAGGACTTGGTGATGGTGAACTCCTTGAACTTGACCTTATCTGAGAAGCGCTTTATCTGCCCTTCCATTCTAAATGAAATCTTTACTGGATAGAGCAATCTTGGATGTAGGTTCTTGCCTTTCATGACTTGGAATGCTTTTTTCCAGCCCCTTCTTGCCTGTAAGGTCTCTTTTGAGAAATCAGCTGACAGTCTGATGGGAACTCCTTTGTAGGTGACTGCCCCTTTATCTCTTGCTGCTTCTAGAATTCTCTCCTTCATTTCAATCTTGGCTAATGTAATGATGATGTGCCTTGGTGTGTTCCTCTAGGGTCCAACTTCTTTGGGACTCTCTGAGCTTCCTGGACTTCCTGGAAGTGTATTTCCTTTGCTAGATTGGGGAAGTTCTCCTTTATTATTTGTTCAAATAAGTTTTCCAGTTGTTGCGCTTCCTCTTCCCTTTCTGGTACCCTTATAATTCAGATGTTGGAATGTTGAAAGATGTCCTGGAGGTCCCTAAGCCTCTC